AAGTCCAAAATTGATAGGATCCTTAGTCAGTCTTTATGGACAAAGTAAAATCCTTCCTGGCAATATGCACTATGTCCATAAAGACACAAAATATGAGAAAATCAAGCTAACAAAATCAAAAGTCAGTGTAAACAACACAGTAAATTATCAGACCAACAAAGACAGCAGACATTTGAGTTGATACTTACAGAGCTTATGGAAACACGGAGGAAGGCACTGCATTTATTTACATTTTTATTTTTTATATTGATTTTTTAGTTGTATTTGAACATAACAGCTTTATTTTATTTATTTATTTTTATGTGGCGCTGAGGATTGAATCCAGGGCCTCGCACATACTAGGCAAGTGCTCTACTACTGAGCCACAACCCCAACCCTATTTATTTATTTATTTATTTATATTTGTTCATTCATTCATTCATTCATTCAATGAATTGAATACAGGGCTACTTAACCTCTGAGCCACATCCTCAGCCCTTTTTAAAACATTTTTATTTTGAGACAGGGTCTGACTAAATTGCTTAGGGCCTCACTAAGTTGGTGAGGCTGGCTTTCAACTTGCAATCCTCCTTTCTCAGCTTCCCAAACCACTGGGATTACATGCATGTGCCACCTTCCCATATGGCCTGGCTCTTTCTCTCATTTATTAAAGAACTTTACCCAGACAGACTTTTTTTCATGTCTTTTGTCTTTTATTTAACTATCTTTTCTGATTACACAAACTATTTCATAGAAAAGTGAACAATTTATAGAAGATTAAGAAAATAAAAATAATCTATAATTCTACTACTCAGGCATAAGAAACCTATTTATTCAGTTTATATATATATATATATATATATATATATATATATATATATATATATATTAATGTATGAAACAGATTTCTAAGCAACAACCTATCATCTATCCACCTATCTTAAAATTTATTTAAAATATACTAATAATGGTTAAATATTTCAAACATGATTAATCAATTTCTCCTTCATGCTTTTCTGTGCTAATTTTAAGTGCAATAAAATCACATTGTTTTATAGTAGAAAATGGAACTATTGAGAAAGGGAAAATAATCTATAATTAATAAATTAATATTG